AGGATTACAGCAGTCTGGCAGAAAAGTGTCTTCTTGTAGCTTTTGCAAAAGTCATGAGTTCCTCTAAATGGCAATGTTATGATCCCTCCCTGAGCAGCAGTGCTTGTGTCAGTGAAATGTCCCCAGCTACCCACAACACGTCCACAGCCAGAGAAAAGCACCTCTTCCTGACTGTCTTCTCAGAGCAGGGTGCCTTCAGGGCACTGGAGGAGAGACATGTTGTCCCCAACAGTCAGCAGAGCCCTTTTAGCTATACAAACTTGCTATTTTCTGCATCCTTCCAAGGATCAGAGACATGCAGCAGGACCCACTTAATGGTCTCCACAAGTGAATGACAACCATTCCCACAAGAGATGTTCCTACCCTGAACCCATCATCTGCTACCCAACCGCAAAGCAGTCAGGAAGCACTACTTATCAGTGATGCCTGCTGGCAGTCAGCAGGTGTCTAGATAAACACAGGTTAAAGGAAAAAGTATTACAGTTTCTTCCAAGGAGGACCTTCCCCACAGGAGATTGCAAGGCTTTGCCCACGGATACTGCGCTGGGAGCGGGTCCAAGTGGTCATGGTAGCCCCGCGTAGGCTGCTTGATATTGTCAGTGTTCAGAGTAAATTTTGGGCAGAGTGTTGGTCCTGATGGTGCTAGTACCTTGCAAAATGATCCATCTAAAGCAGTGATTTTCCACCTTTACTTGTTTGCAGGCCACCCAAAAATGTCCCAGCAGAGCTCTGGGTCTCTGTATGATGAATTCCAGCCTGCTGACAGATACATTTGATTTTGTTGCCTTCTGTGACCTCTCAGAGCAGACCAGAAGTAGCTGTACAGTGAGAAGGCCCTTCTATGTGGATGTTCCTGATGCTGAGGGGCTTGGACTAATATTCTTTTGTCTAAAATTCAGCTCGGACTAATATTCTTTTGTCTAAAATTCAGGCTCCCAAATGGCAGAGCTTCCTGGCACTGAAACAATTGTTAGTCCCAATCCAAGCGATCTGCTATGTACGTAAAACATGTACAGGTGCAGCCTGCACTTCTATGTACACTTGCAACTCGGGATGCCAAAGTGAACATGTGGTTCTTAACAGAAAAAAGTCCTTAGAACCATCATCCACACAAAGGGCTTTATTTAGTTGCTGGAGATTTGAGTGACTTCAGACTCTTGGGTTTTGGTTCATTCTCTGGAACAGCACTGGGTTTTGTCTTTATTTTTGTTTCCTGTGTCAGAGCTGTGAAGCAGATGGATTTCAAACTACAGAAATTGTTCATGGTAGATGTTTAATGAAAATCCCTGACTGAAACATAATTCTTATTATGGAAAAAGAAATAACTTTTCCAGTTGTGGGAGAAAAGTAAGGGAAAGGGATTGTTTTGCTTGAAGTATGTTTTAAATTCCACGTTGCAGTCTGGTACCAGTGCACACACTGAGGTTCACCTGTTTGTGCTGATTCAACACAAATTGACGTTAGGAATGACTTCTGAGAATTACACAGCTTTTGCCTCTTTAAAAAATGCCTACATTGGTGTATTCATCCCAAAATAGCAACCTGCTGGTCCTGGGCTAGGATAAAGGGAGAAGTAAAAGGAGGAAATGCCTAGTTTGGGGAATGAACGGTGAAGCTGAACAAGAGACAAGCTTGAGCATTTCCTTCCAGTGGGATTCTCTGCTGGCTGGAGAACAAGAGCCAGTGCATGGAGCCAAGGGAAAGGAGAGACAGATGGATGTCTCCCTCCCACAGGTGCTGGATGCCCTGCTCTGTAGGGGAACTAATAACCAGGCAAGCAGGGCAAAGAGCTGGAGTCGTTTCACAGGGCTGTGAATCACGGCAGAGTGAGGAAGCTGAATCACAACAGCCAAGCTTCATGTCCACAGCTCTGAACTGTGGCCTGGAAAACAGAGAGGAGGAAGACACAGTGGCTGCAGGCACTGCTGTGTGAGTGTGAGTTGGTGCTGCTCCCCGAGGACTCCCGGCGTGCCCCTGTGGCAGGAACAGTGCAGCTCTGGGGCTCCAGTTCTCCACCACCAGTAAGCAGGCATTTGGACAATCCACCACAGATTTCCTTAAACTTGTCGATCTCTATTTGTGATGGTGTGTTGTGTACATACGGGCACAGAAAATTTGTGAGACTATAAAGCTGAAGCAAAGATGGGCACTTCTCTCCTGCAGATCCATCTCTTTCTCTCTGCCTTGGGTTATTTGTCAATGTGAAATTTTCTCCAACGGTCAGTGAATTTTTTCTAGCTTAGTAGCCAAAAGCTCTATAATAATGTGATATTTGGGCTACACAATGCCATAGCATGCTGTTATAAAGGAGGTAATCTTGAAGAACTCTGCAATGTGGTGTAGATTGTATTTTGCCATTTAAAGGAAAGTGCTGTCGCTGTGTAACACAATGGGAGGGAGAATACAGAGATACAAATAGGCTGTGCTCACACTGCCTGTGTGACCCAGGTCAGAGACCACACACATAGTAATGAAACAGTAATTTCTATTTTTTTTTTGCTTCAAAGCACTTGTCCATCCAGACCAAACCAGATTCCAGCATGGAGAGTCACAAGGTCAGCCCCACATGTATTGCAGATACGCATATCCTTAGAGACACATGGGCTTGTAATGAACACTGTGGCTGTGACCTGGGTTTTTTGTCTTCCCATTGTTTCTATTACTGTCACAACACTGATAGCTTGAGTTAGCTATTCAGAAAGCCAGGCTGAGGTATTTCTTCTCTAGTATTTCCCTGAAGAATCTCATTGCATTTGGCCATCTGAAGCCAGTTCTTTATGTTTCTTCATATTAGTCCATGCAAATACTGGACAATCACAGAATATAAGATATGTGAGCCAAACCCACGAGCATTTTTTACCATACAGCTCAATGAAAACAGTTGCTGACTGTCCTTTTTGTTTTTAACAGTCCTGTACCTGGAAGGATCTGTCCTTGTATTTGAGGATGTCTTCAAACTGGTTGCCTTCTACTGTGTCAGTAGGTGAGTTGGATTCATTGCTTCCATGGAGAGGTCATTCCACTCTCCCCTCTGGATTGTCTTTCCCCAGTATCCAGTCACAGCACAGCCCCTGCTGTTTCCTCTGGTTTCCTCTAACCTGCCAGACCAGATTTGTAGGTGAACTAATAACCAGGCAGGCAGGCAGGTGTTGCCCTACAAATTTCAGATGCTAGTATCTGTGAGGGGGCCAGATCACCCAGTTGCTAGCCAGTCACACCATAACCACAGCTGTCCCTGAAGCTGGAAGCTTTGTCTGAGGAAGGTCCATAGGGATGCACCCACAAAGGACCAATGCTAGGGAAGAAAAAGGGTCCCGAATTACCATCTCTTATTTAAAGCAGCTTTAAGCATACACACACACCTGGCAGTGGACTGTTGCCTGCGGGAGACTCAGAGCACTTAGTCACCTATGGGGAATCTGTCAAGGAGAGTAGTCCGGAAACAATTTCTGTTCTTTATCCAAAATCTAAAAATAAAATAAAGCCATAAAGAAGAGATGTTGTTTGTTTGCTCAGTGTAAAAATACCAAAGATAGTGGGCACACAGATGGGAAAGACCTGTAAGGTTATTTTCATTAGAGCGAGGTTTGATCAGCAGCTGATGAGTCCCTCTGTGTAATTAAACCCATGTGTCTGCAGTCTCCTCTAACCTGTATGTTGTGCTGAGCACACTG